GATCGCGACGAAACTTTCAGTACCCTCGCATTGATCAATTTGACACCTACCCTGAAAATTTCATGACCCTGACCCAAATGACCTTTGACCTGTGACCTCTTTTCCGAGACCATGTTTGGCCGGAATCGCGATTCGGCGTACGTCGGCTCGCATTAGCCGCGCGTTTGCAAGCTTTTCGTGGTTTCAAACGTTCAAACATGTGATTTGATGTGGCTCCCATGCATTAGGGTGGGTGTCAAGGTCACCTGAAGGTCAGGTCAGGTCATTGACCTTTGGTGACCTCGGGTGACCTCGGTTCACTTTTTCGAGTTTTACATGTTTCTAGGCTAGTTTTTGGAGCTGAATTCGAATTTAGCAACCATTTGAACATTTACGAAGTAGTTTTGGTGCCTTCGTAACATGTTACGAAGCTGTCAGAGGCGATTGACAAGTACTACGAATACCCGTCACCACGCCTACTGATTGACCTGACCTGACCTGACCCGACCTGGTCTAAATGCTTAAAGACATCATCTGTGATCAAAACTAACACGATTTTCGTGATCAGCACCCCGAAAAACCCCTTAGCAGCCACACTTTACGACTTTCTAATAGGTCCCGATTTTCCCGACTTTGGGTCATTGACCTGACCTGGAAGGTCAACCAATGACCTAGGACCTTAAAATTGGGTATCATCGGCTTCCTCTCGTCACGGGCAACACGCTCGTTTTTTCCGCGAAGCTCTAGCTCGATCAGGGGCCAAACGGCAAGGGGGGGGGGGTCCAACCGACCCTCCCCCCCTACACATTAGAAGCTGGAAAACGCCGCACACATGCGAGGGTTAAATTACCTTCATCACAACCAACCGCAGCGTAGCTGCTACCTTGCGATAACCCCCCAATCCCATATCTCAAGCTCGAGACGCACTTTCGACTGTACCTGTCCGAGCTCAGCCCACGCCGACCAGAAACCTGACGATTGCAGCCGCGCAGAGAGACCCCCCCCCCCCCCACTCCACCGCCGCCGCCTCCACCACCGCACGTGAGCTGATCGCAGCAGCTGCCGGCAGCTGGCAGAGATTGAGATGGATCGGTGCGGTGCTCAGACGCGCGGCGCTCGGCGTCGATTCTCCGAGAGCATCGCGTGCTCTGAGATAGCGGTGGCAGTGGCGGTGTTCCGCAAAAGAGGTCTCATTCAGGTTTGTCCTGGCGCTGTCTGTAATCCCATTTAGCGGAAGTGCTCAAGGTGATAAGAAGCGTGATGTTCCATGAAATCGGCTGGAAAGTTATTAAAGATGGGTGGGCGGAATTGAGCTGCGACGGAGAAAGGTTTGGAGAAAGGATGAATGGGTGTGCACTTTGTAAGATGGTGGTAGTTACTGCCACCCACCTTCGGTTTAAAGGTAGTGTGCCAGCTTTCTTGGACCGTATGGAGTTAATGGCCCAGATAAGGAGAACCGGATTTTTAGAACTTATCCATACCTTCAAAACTCATGGAAACGTCTTAAATTCTTCAAATTTTGAGTACCCCAGTGCGAAATTCGCCCCGACGGGTTGTCGGTCGTACCCCAACCACATTTCACACCACTATGAACAATAAATGCACACACTGAAATCGCTATTACCGATATGCTCATCCAATCAAGTTTCGATAAACCCGTTCATCATCATCTCCTGCGGTTTCGAACACGCCTGTTAGGTGGCTTCTGATGCTCGTCGAGGTCGGAATTTCCAAATACGCGTGGTGCGCCGGGCCGCGTGCTCTGACTTCGGCCAAGAAAAATGCGTCAGCTGATCATTGTCATTTCTGCCACTTGCGTGTGGTGAAATGGGGTCATAACTTATAAGACGGCTTTTTCCTATCAATTATTTTACATAAAATCATATTTCAAACCATAAATAATGTTAGACAGCCAAATAAAAGAAACAATACCAATACGGGCTTACAGTTTAAGGCTCGACATTGTGTTGTCTACGATTAGACAGCTGATAACTCATTCCCGTACGTCGTATGGTCGTAACACTATAATGACCTTTGCTTATTGTCACAAGTGCGCCGCAATCGCGATTGTTGCCCGACGCCTGTTTGCAGGTGAGCCCACTACAGTTGTTATACATATCTAAAAACCGAAAAACTTTTAGGCGAAAAAGGCACTATTCCAGGCCCATTTTTGATTTTTTTTTGCGATATTAGGTAAAAACAGAAGCTTCTTATCCTAGGAAAAATAAAATGGGAAATCTTTCAAAGGTGGCACACTACCTTTAAGGGAGCTTTGAAATTATCCCTAAGGTTCGGTTTCGGCAGAACATCTTGTGTACCTACCTATGCAAGAAAGAGGATGTTTTTTTTTACAATTATAACCGTATCGCTTTACAAGACAAGGCACTTTTGTATTCATGAGGAAACAAGCTGTTAGGGGAAGTTGGGGGAACGCCGAATACTTTTTTTCTGACGCCCGTAGCACGCAAGGTAGACAACATAAGCTATACTTGTTGGCGTCATTCGAGAGGCCAGTCTTTTGCCTTTCAAACATACCAGGCGCATTTGATGAATTCGCATACCGTTAAGCGCACAAACTAAAAATATCAGAGAAGTGACTTTTTCGGCGTTGCCCCGGACTGCGGGGAAAGCCGAAAATGGGAGAAATGATCTACGGGGAATGCCGACATTGATGTTTTGCCACTTTATCTCAAACTTTATCCAGAATTTATCAAAGCTGACACGCGTTTTAAGAGCTTGAGGACGCTTGGTGCACACTGGAAGTTATAATTGTGTGATATAATAAGAAAATGCCAGGTAAATAATTCCTTATAGGTAAACAGGCCGTTGTGTCGGTTGAAAGTGTAATTTGTGTGTCTAAAAATTTGCGTTGCTATTCTACAGCAGTAAAGTCCACGTAGCGTGCTTTAACGTGCGTAATTGCACGTTTTCGGCATTACCCCAGCCAGCCACACTTTCATTTGCAGGCCCATAACTTTTCAACGTGCCGTATGAATTTCAAATAGGCAGCACACTTATGCAAAGACATGCTGAAGATTACTTGACCGAATTGGCCAGACAAACGGTAGCATAATGAGTAAGAAATGCAGCTTCAAAGGCGCATGTAGTACAAGGAACGCGTACCTTGAAAACGCTCTTGGCGCCCTCACAGCCGAAGTATTCCGAATGACGACTCGTAACAAACATGCGATAATTGTAGTCACTTAAGCTTCAGAGCATCACTGACAGGTGGCATCCATGTCTTACGGTTTTCGAAATATCTCGAATTTCGGCTTTGCCCCAACTCCGGCATTGCCCCAACTTCCCCTATAGGTTGTCAGATCATGCAACCGCGATTTTCTGACACAATATATTTTGTTTGTAGATTCCCTGTGATACCATTTATCGCACGGTTCAAATTGCAATCTAAGTTGATAGGGATGCAAAATGCTCGGTTGCTACAAAGAGCCCATAGTCTCGGTTTCCAGATGAGAAAAGTTCAGCACTTATCGGCCTCCGGTTTTATTTTATCTAGCCGCAAAGTCATCCACGGACCACGCATTCCATTTATCCCTATCACTCCCCGCACGTGAAATGAGCGTTTTACGACCACCGCGCCGCAGAGCTCTTAAACTCCAATTCACACCTCCGCGCACTAAACGCCGAGTTCCCGTGGAGCCATCAATGGCGGCCGGAGCTCAATGGAGGAGCTCGCCGACAGCCGCGTGATGACGTCATCATGACGTCACGGCGGCTGCAGCCCGAAATATCTTCAGCTGGGAGCTGCGGCAGCCCCGCCGGCTCCGAGCTGTCGCCGGAACTGAACCGCGCGAGCTGTCTCAGCATCGGGCGTCCGGACAATGCCAGGATCCGGCGGGTCTTTCGACGATTTTGTATGAGATAAGATAGCACATGAGATAAGATATCAAATTAGATATGTGATAAGATAAGATTCGGGGATAAAAAAGGTTCATTTTCTTGTAAGCTGTCACGCTTAACCGGCACAGAGTTCGAAATCAAATTGGGTTATTGGACACAGCGCTATATCGATTGGGTAAGCGATAAGAAAGATTGCCGTAGTATGTAGAACAACCATTTATCCACATAAATGTGAGCATTTGTGTGAACCGGACGGATATAATGGCTTCCGTTGCACATTTATCTTGACATAAATGCTTCTTTGTGCTAACAAATTAATTACTATATGGTCATTTGTCAGTCGACTCCCAATGTCTGTCTGTCATTGTCTGTTACGTGACATATTCTGCAATGCAAGCGTATTGAATTCTGGGAGATATCCCGGCCAACAATCTCCAAGCCAGTCAAAATAAGCATGCTGTAGAACAGGGTATAAATATCTGAAACTCAATGATGCAATAGGTCGAAAGAAATTTTAGAAACTTTTCAGATGACTTGTTATAGGCATTTGGAAATAAATGTTGCCGTCTTCCATTATACCTATCCCATTTGCGTAACCGCATTGTCAAAGTCCGTGAGCCGAAATGTGAAATGGATTATCGACTGTTTTTGGAACATGGTCAGCTGTCACTCAGCAATGCTGGAACGGTGTCAGCACTCTACGTCCCAGTCAGTTTGAGGAAATTTTAGCTGCAAATCTTTTTACAACCAATTATTAGCACCGACTTCTAATTGGGTTCCAAAATAGTTTTGCTGCGTGCTGCGGTCCTAATAAGATCGTAAGAGGGGCTCACGTTTTTCCGTGTTTATGTCTGTTCAGAATTCAAAGCACTGGCTATTTCGAACACTGGGCAAATCATGCCCGGGACAATATGAACCACGGCGCAAACAATACTCACCCTTAGCATTATTATGCTTGATTTTCCTAAAACCGTCAAAATATGACGGTCACCACAGCCATTACGATATTGTCATCTGCTCTGATATTTGCAGAGATATCATTTTGTTGCTCCGTAACCCTGATACCCGCTTTGGCTTTATTTCCATTCGGGATTATCATACCTACTCCCACTTTCGTCGTGTTCTTTATCTTAATCTGACCATCGTTTGGCGTTTTGTTTCAGTTCCGGTAAAGTGGATGGCCATTGAATCTCTGGAGGATCACGTCTACACCTCAAAGTCGGACGTCTGGAGCTTCGGAGTGCTCCTCTGGGAACTCATCACACTCGGTAAGACGGCTAATCACTCTGAGTAAGATCGGTCATTTGGCTTGGTAAGATGACTGGCCACACTGTGTAACATTTCAGTAAATTAGCGTTAAAGCGGGTAAGGGTCGATAATGCTCCGTTTTAATTCACATTTATCTCAAAATATGCAAATGTGATGATAAATAGCCTCTCTCCCATTCCAGCATCTCAGCATTACACACCAGCGCTAGCTTTGAGTGCCAGTCTCACGATACCATTGTGTGCTCCGTATTTTAGGCTTTAATCCGTACCCAGGAGCGGCTGTGTCTCACTATATACCGCTATGTGCCCTGCTACAGGCTCTGATACGTACCCTGCGGTGAGACTTTACCACTGTGTAGGTACTTCCAGCTCCAACCCGTACCGTGCAGAGTGATGCCGTACCGTGTCTCACTGTACCATTATGTGCGCTGTTTCTGGCTCTAACCCGTACCCGGGGTAACCCCGGAGCGACTCTGCCACCTCCTGAAGTCCAGTTACAGGATAGAATATAATAACATTGGGTGCCCTGTTCCAGGCTCTAACCCGTACCCTGGTGTAACCCCGGAGCGTCTCTGTCACCTCCTGAAGTCTGGATACAGGATGGACCGGCCGGCCAACTGTACCCAGGACATGTGAGTCGAGTTGCTGACCTTCTGGTAAGGTTGAGGGTGCCCTTATGTCGCTGACCTGGGGGATAGAAAGTGACTTCAGGGGTATCAGGAAAGTCGCCGAGGATGAGTGTTGGCGACGCTTTCGTTCGAATCTCCTTTCATGGTGTGGACTGTATTTAATCGCGCATCGCACAGCATTTGGTTGTTTGGTGACCGAGATCCAGGAGGAAAATGGTTTAATTGGAAAATTGGGAAAATAAATGTTATAACCTATCACGTTAGCCTAGTTAAGATACAACTAAATATTGGATACAGGATAGAGCGCCGGATGCCGACGACTAAGGAACCTCCTTCTTAGGAAGTATATTTGGACCTAATAAAAGAGCGCCGGATACCGACGGCAAAGGAACCCCCTTCTTAGGGCGTATGTTAGGGCCTAAATAAGAGAGCGCCGGATGCCGACGTCAAAGGAACCCCCTTCTTAGGGAGTATGTTAGGGCCTAAAATATGAGAGCGCCGGATACCGACGTCAAAGGAACCCCCTTCTTAGGGAGTATGTTAGGGCCTAAAATATGAGAGCGCCGGATGCCGACGACAAAGGAACCCCCTTCTTAGGGAGTATGTTAGGGCCTAAAATATGAGAGCGCCGGATGCCGACGACAAAGGAACCCCCTTCTTAGAGAGTTTTAGGAATGTTTTAGGATGAAAAAAGGATAGTCAGTAGACCTGGTCACCGGAACCGATACGCCTGCCGCATCTCCGTCGAATATCTCATCTGTGTGTAGACCGCGCACTGTTTCACTTCTCACTCGGGCTTCTCACACACTTTGTCTTCTAGTTCACTATATTTCAAGGCAGCGAAACGTACCGGGAAGAGAGCGGGGCAGCGCAGTGTCCCCGTCGAAGTCGAAAGGTGAAGTGAGGCGCCAAGGTGTTTACAACTAGTTTATATACAGCGACAGGGGGTGAAAACAAGACGCGTTGGGGACGGTCAGAGCACACAGAAAAGGCTAAAAATGGCCCGGGCGTCCAGCGCTCCACCCGGAAGACACACACGCTGGGCGCGCACGTGCGTGCCCCACACAATGGCCCGGACCTGGGCCGGTCCTACGCAAACAGGGAGCCGCCCTGCCGCGCCGGCCGGCCAGCCGGGTCAGAGGGGACGCCAGCGTCCCGCGACCGCGGACGGCGCTCGGCTCGGCGGCACGGCGGCGGTTCGGCTCAGCAGCGCCGAGTCTCTCGCCCGTACCGCCTTGCATAGGTGCAATTTGTCGGCAACATCACTCCCCCCTGTGTTCGGCTTCACTACGAACGTCGAACACATACATTCGACCGACAAATTGAACAGCGCAAACGAACAGTCAAGAAAGGTGATAACCGAAACGGGCGCGGGTAACTATCATTTCCAAGCTCCATACAAGTAAAAACACGCACAGCGTACCAGTAAGGTGCGGACAGCGGAACGAGAGAAAGCAGCCCTTACACTCGCGCGTGGAAACGGGTTTCCTTTGCACAGCCCTGATCTCAGACTCAGGTACCTGTCGGAAAGGCGCAAAACTACCAGTGCTGGCGCGAGCGGTCAGTGGGCAGGGGGCCGTCAAGCCATACGCAAAATGGAAATGACGGACAACTGCTGAATACCCTCGCCGAGAAAAAAACACAGATGGACAGGGTAGCACCGGCCATGGGGGGCTGGACGGTTGGTACCTCAGGCATATGACCGCAGCAGGCAGTGATCAGTTGTCCACGGGACGCAGCCATGAGCGCTGCGTGTTCAGCTCCTCCCGGGCGGCGCTCAGTTCGCGCGCACCACGGACAGCAGCTCCTGGTTGCGCGCCTGGAGCTCCTCTTTGCCTCAGAAGGTGACCAGACGCTGGGCGATCAGCCGTCCGGCGGAGGTATCCAGCTCGAGCTCGTCCCGGGGTGTGGCGACGACCGCCGCGCGCCTTCTCCACCTCCTTCAGCGGCACGTAATCCTGCATTGCCAGGTCCTCTGTCTGGGCGACCAGTCGGTCCCTCTTGTGTTGTACGGTACGCAGTCGCCGGCGGGCGTCGTCAGGCTTGGCGTGTGCTGTCTCCAGCTCCCGTAATGCCTCGTCATTGCTGCCTGTGGGAGAGTCGATCATCTGCACCGCCGCCTCATAATCCTCTTGCTGTGTCTGGATGGCCAGCGTCCACTTATCAATGTCCTTCAGGATCTGGTCGAGGCACAGTTTGAACTGCTTGCTCTCGGCCTCTGTGGCCGTCAGCTGCTCCTTGGCCTGACTGAACCCGGTGAAGATCTGTGTGAGCGTCATGCCCTGCCACAGGAGCCGGCTGACGGCGGCGGCGGACGGTGACGTGGCCTCCACCGCCTCGTCTGAAAGGCTACCTTTGTGGGTGATTGCCTGCAGCTGCTCCTCGTAAGTCTCCAGCCGGTCGCGCAGCTGGAGGATCACCTTGTCGCGCTCCACCAGGTACTGGCCGTGCTGGGTGTGCGTCTCGTCCAGATGCACCTCCAGCTGGCTTTGCTGCTCGCTGGCCGAGCTCAGCAGTGACCGCAGCTCGTCCACCGAGCGCAGCATCTCATTCGACCTGGCCTCCGCCTTCTCGACGCCCTCTTTGTAGGGCTGCGCCAGCCGCTCCTGTGACCGCAGCTGCTGTCGATAGTTTTCCTCCTGCTCGATCTCGGCCTCACGCTGCAGCCGGGGCTTCTCCACCAGTTCGGTGAGCTGCTGCTCCAGGTCGGCCGCCTGCTGTGTCAGCCGTTCCTTTTCCGCCTGCTCCGTCCCCAGCTGGTCCATCTTGTTGGCAAGGTTGGTCTGCAGCTGGAGGATCCGCGAGCTGTGCTGGCGGCGCAACGTGGACAGCTCCTCTGCTTGCAACTTCAGGCTCTCCTGCAGCAGAGACATCTGCTTCTCCAGCACCTCCTTCTCACTCGCCATCTTCCTCTCTCTGTACTGGAAACTGATCTCCTTGGCGGCAATTTCCCCCACCTGTGCCAGTGCCCGACACTTGGCCGCATTAGCTGCAGCCAGTTCAGCTCCCCAGTCTTCAAGCTCAGCCGTCAGCCGGGCCACCTCAGTAGCGCGCCGCTCCAGCTGCTGTACCAGGCTCGCCTTGTCCGAGAGCACCTGGTCGCGCTCCCGACAGGCGGCCAGCTCAGCGGCCAACGCCCTGGTGAGGCCGGCATCTGCCTTCCTGTAGTCTGCGGTGGCCGTGGTCCGCTGCTCCTGGAGTCTGACAGCTGCCTGCTGCTGCTCCTCCAACTGGCTGGACTGCTTCTGCAGCTCCTGCTGGGCCTCCTGCAACTGCTGGCCCAGCTCAAACTCATTCTGCTCTCTGAGTGCGTCTGCTGAAACAGCAGCGACCGATACATGTTTCTCGGCGACGTAGGAGTTGATGATGACCTGGTACTTCCCTGCGACCTGTGGAAGCTTTTCGAGCTTTCTCTCTGTTGTCTGTAGTCGCTGAACAGCCAGTCGCTTGTTGTTGGGAAGTGTAGGACTTGTCTCCTTCCACAGCAGACTGGTCTCGTATCGCTCTCCACTTTTGGTCGTGTTTCTTTCCAGCACCTGGAGTACTTTCTTATCCATCTCCGATCGTGACGTCGTTTCACTGTGCTTTGTTCCAGATGCTTCTGTAGACCACCATTCGTTGACGGCAGCGCACAGCTCTACTTCGCTCTCACTCGATTGACGTCTCAGAAACATGACCCGGCGCCTGCTACTGGGCACGATGTCAGACACGCAGCCCGTCAGGGTCCACCCTAGGTCTGTCTTCACAGCGGCCGGTTGATTCGGACGTCCCACACGCACCTCCTTCTGCAGCACTGCTTCAAGGACGTTTGCACCAATCAACAGCTTCACCTGGCCGCCATTATATTGCGGGAACTCCAGATCCCGAAGGTGCTCAAACCTCTGAAGCTGACTCTTCGTCATTGAAGTCGCAGTCACATTCAGCGCTGGCACAGACCACACTTCAGGAATGTTGATGCACTTCTTTGCCCCTGTGCCAAGGGGGCTGATCTTCAGTTTCACTCTCTCGGACGGACGCTGAGTGCCACTGGTCTCCACGTTTTGTATGCAGAGCGGGTGTCGCTCCCCGGCAACGCCCAGCTCCTCCAGAACATCCTCACGACACAGTGATGTCTGAGCTCCAGCATCCAGGAGTGCCAGAACGTCTGTCGAACCACGGGGCCCGTGAACCCGCACAGCAACAATCTGTAGCAGTGTGTCTGTGTCTGTCTTTACCGAGGCCGCTACAAACGGCTGGTTCCCGGAACTACCTTCAGCTGAAGATTCAGGCGCTCCCGTGGTTGTCCCTGCTGACGACTGATCCCTCCTCGAGTTGCTCTGATCGGTTCCTGACCGACTTGATCCGCGGTGGAGAAGCGGATGGTGCGTGAGCTTGCATCCCTTCACATTGCACCGCCGAGACACTTTGCAGCTTCTGCTCCAGTGGCCCTTCTTGAGGCATGAAAAGCAAAGACCTTCTTCATAGGCAACAGCGCTTCTTGCGTCTGGGGTCTTGGCCTTGAATTCTGAGCAGTCGCTCAGCCTGTGGTTACTGCTGCACACCACGCACACTGGCAGAGAGCGGGCCTCTGGTTCGGTTTCACCATTAGCTCCTGTCGCCAGCGCTGTTCGCCGAACAGGGCCGTCCCTTGAAGCAACTGTTGCACGTTTCCGTTCCGATGTTGAAGTCCCGGACTGGACAGCAGAGAAGCTCAGGATGCTGACTTGGACTTGGAGCCACTCGGTGAATGTCTCCAGAGTCGGTCTCGTCGGTCGCAGCCGGAACACTTCACGGCCCCACTGTCGGGCTAGTTCGCTCGGCAGCTTTTCGACCACTCTTCTCAAGTTTTCACTGCTTGACAGGTCACTCGCATAGCCGAGATTTCGCAGGACGGTGACTGTGTTATGGACGACCGCATAAAACTTCTCCATCGCTGGGAGGTCCATTAGTGACGGTGGCGAGGTCATGAACACATTTCGCAGGTGGGCCTGGATGATGTCTTCCTCTCGTCCGAACCTATCTTGCAAGGTTTTCAAGGCCTCGTGATACAAGTCACCGTTGAATAACATGCCGTCAATGGCCTGGGCCGCGGCCCCTTCCACCGCGTTTTGAAGATGAGCCATGCGCTCAGCATCCGACAGGGATGGCTGATCATGCACCAATGCTTTGAAAAGACCAATCCAGCGCGGCCACTCACGTGCATTTCCACGGAACGTTGGCAGAGTCAGTCGCGGTATGCTTTTTACGAACGCTGATGGTCCTGCCAGGTCATTACGTCGGGGTGAGGCCGGCGTTGCGATCCAGCTGGCACGAGCCAGTCCGTCATTCTTGAGCACCCCATTCTCACCTTGAGGAACACCGACAGCTCTGGGTGATGACGAGATGCAGCGGGAAACTTCGCCACCATTGGATGCCGGCCGCTGCTCACCTGACGTATCACGGACGGCTCTCGATATATCGCATTGCTCAGGCTCCACCTCCACTGGGATTTCGTCATCAAAGTCGTTTCTCCGCTCCCATTCAAGGTCATTTTCTGCAGCCCTCAGAAGTCTTGCCCTCTGCTGCGCTCGTTCCACCTCCTCTTCTAACTCCTTTTCCTCCATCATCTTCTTCTCTTCTTCCATCCTGTCTTCTTCTCTTCTCCTCTGAGCTGTTCTTTCTGCTTCCTGGTTTCTCAGCTGCCTTTCTCTGTCTTGCCTGGCTTTCAAATGCTTCAGCTCCAGGCTTCTCATCTCTGCCGTTATTACAGCTTCCCTGGACGCCGCTCTGGAGACCCCTGAAACACGGGATCCGTTCGCTCTACTCCCCCCGTGATGCAACTTTGATGGTGGTGGTCTGTCATCTGCTTGCGACGCCGCGCAGCAGCTCACTGGTCGGTGCGTAGTCGCCTCTTCAATTCTTTTCACCGTCTCGGCGTACCGTGCCGTCAGTCGGGTGGCGTACTCTTCCGCTTCTTCCAGTTCGCAGACCTCCTGCACCTTCTCAACATAGGTGTCATTGGCCTCCATGAAACCATCCAGTGTCGCATTCAGGGTTTCGAGCCGCTTCTTTAGTTCTTCCTCGCTAGCTCGGCGCGCGATCTGAGCCTCCGCCGTGTTACAGGCACGAGTAAACGCGGCGGCCTTGCGCCCGCGCTGAAGTTTCAGGTGCTTCAACACGCATGCAGTGTCTCCAGCTTCCTCGCCGGCAGTGTCCTGACTCACCGTCGCCGTCTCTGTGTTCTCCGCCTGAGTCGAATCTTCCATCATCGGAATTTTCTTCTCGATCCGACTGGCACACACGAGGCACAGCTTGTAACCTACAATCAATCCCTAAGTCGGCGACGGGCAGCCACGAAGGTCATCAGTTCTCACTTCAGGCCAGGACCATCCGGCCCGGAGGACCAGAAAATGTTGGCGACGCTTTCGTTCGAATCTCCTTTCATGGTGTGGACTGTATTTAATCGCGCATCGCACAGCATTTGGTTGTTTGGTGACCGAGATCCAGGAGGAAAATGGTTTAATTGGAAAATTGGGAAAATAAATGTTATAACCTATCACGTTAGCCTAGTTAAGATACAACTAAATATTGGATACAGGATAGAGCGCCGGATGCCGACGACTAAGGAACCTCCTTCTTAGGAAGTATATTTGGACCTAATAAAAGAGCGCCGGATACCGACGGCAAAGGAACCCCCTTCTTAGGGCGTATGTTAGGGCCTAAATAAGAGAGCGCCGGATGCCGACGTCAAAGGAACCCCCTTCTTAGGGAGTATGTTAGGGCCTAAAATATGAGAGCGCCGGATACCGACGTCAAAGGAACCCCCTTCTTAGGGAGTATGTTAGGGCCTAAAATATGAGAGCGCCGGATGCCGACGACAAAGGAACCCCCTTCTTAGGGAGTATGTTAGGGCCTAAAATATGAGAGCGCCGGATGCCGACGACAAAGGAACCCCCTTCTTAGAGAGTTTTAGGAATGTTTTAGGATGAAAAAAGGATAGTCAGTAGACCTGGTCACCGGAACCGATACGCCTGCCGCATCTCCGTCGAATATCTCATCTGTGTGTAGACCGCGCACTGTTTCACTTCTCACTCGGGCTTCTCACACACTTTGTCTTCTAGTTCACTATATTTCAAGGCAGCGAAACGTACCGGGAAGAGAGCGGGGCAGCGCAGTGTCCCCGTCGAAGTCGAAAGGTGAAGTGAGGCGCCAAGGTGTTTACAACTAGTTTATATACAGCGACAGGGGGTGAAAACAAGACGCGTTGGGGACGGTCAGAGCACACAGAAAAGGCTAAAAATGGCCCGGGCGTCCAGCGCTCCACCCGGAAGACACACACGCTGGGCGCGCACGTGCGTGCCCCACACAATGGCCCGGACCTGGGCCGGTCCTACGCAAACAGGGAGCCGCCCTGCCGCGCCGGCCGGCCAGCCGGGTCAGAGGGGACGCCAGCGTCCCGCGACCGCGGACGGCGCTCGGCTCGGCGGCACGGCGGCGGTTCGGCTCAGCAGCGCCGAGTCTCTCGCCCGTACCGCCTTGCATAGGTGCAATTTGTCGGCAACAATGAGCGTTAGTTGAGTATGTCGGGTTTGGGATCCGCGCGTAACGTAGCTTCCTTTCGCTGAATGTTGCATTGGGTTGAGTTTATCTTCCAGCTCCCATAATGGTGTCATAATTTCCTCTTGTCTTTTAAAATAGTAATTGGTCTCAAATCTTTTAAGCAAATAAGAATAACTTACTGGAATAAGCTTGTAAGAATCATACAAGCAATACACATTTCCAAAAAAAAAAAATGCTGCCATTCAGCCAGCAGTTCCTCAGGATCGATGCCAAAGAAGCCTGGCAACTGCTTGGTCTCACGTTTATTTATCTGAAAGAACACACTGACTTATTCTGAGACATAGCACGGCTTTGGACGTCACTGACCCCCCCCCCTCCCATAAGGGATAATGATTCTTCCACGGGCATTGTCCCTATAATAAGCCTGAGTGGCGGGGTGGCTTTCAATGTTGCTGTGCGATTCAGGCTATAAACGTTTATATAATGCGACTGCTTTTATGGTAAAGGATTAGGTACTCCCAGCTTTCTCGCAATTAAGGCGATTGATTTGGTTATCTCATCTTTCTTAGACGCTGATGAAGATGGGTATTTTTTTAAAAAGTAAATCTGGTTAGCAGGTGTCGGACCAGAAGCCTGTAGCTCTCGTGCGATCAATAATTCCTGGCGGATAATTTTTTTGTATATTGCCAATGTTTTCAGTGAGATCCAAAGGCTGCTCTGGTTTTTCACAACACCTTACACACAATATCACAATATCACAAATCACAATAGGCCGCTGGCTAGACTTTCCGAGCAGAATGTGCGCCGGTCGGTGCGACTACACAGGGCCCGAGTTAATTACAGCGGATAATTGCTCTTGATTGCTAGTTACTGTGAAAAGACGCTCTGGTTTTTTGCTAGTTACACCTAGGAAACAAATTAAGTGAACGCAATTCGATTAGCGAGCTGTCAGTTCTGTTACCAGGCCGTAGGCGATGTAAAGCGATTTAAGTCCCGTCAACCGTATGGCAAGATAATTGAACGGTTATTTGTATCCTGAGCAGCTCCCTGTATCAATACATAGTTCCAGTGCAAACCGTTGTCAATTTGGTCACTCGCTGAGTGTGGAGGCCAGATTTCGGCATTGTGTAAGCTCGGCGAAGTGTGTCTCTACATTCAGTGACCCATTTTATATTGGATCACCCGACTATGCCTGAGTCTCCCGTGCCGGACGATGGCTCCATTGTCTGATTGCGTGAAGAGTGTCAGTCAGTGTATTTAGACCGTATGTACTGCCCAGTTGCCAGCTCTGGGTCACAAAGGCTTTATTGAGGCCATCTCTTGAGGTCTCAAGCCTCAAATATAATGTCTCCACGTTTCTCACCCAAAGCTCCCATACGATATGCGCCTGCCGCCCCCCTAGTCCCCCGTCAGCCTCCCCTCTGACACCCCCCCCCCCTCCCTCCGTTTTCCACAGGTACAGCATCATGCGCCAGTGTTGGCAGGAGCAGCCCTCCTCGCGACCCACGTTCTCCGAGCTGAGCCAGTGGTTCGACCGGATGCTCCAGTCGGGGTCAGAGTATCTGGATCTCAGCACACCGCTGGTTCTCAACAGAGAGTACTTTGACCTGCTGAGCGATGGAGGTGGGTTCTCAAATGGGTACTTTGAGATGTTATTGGTGGAGGTTGGTTTTCAACTGATGCGTGGATCTGCTAAGCGTTTGAGTATTTTGTCGTGATGAAAGTCGAAAATTAGTAGGCACGTCAATGGAATCATTGAGTTTGAGATGATGTAATTAAGAATGCAAAAGTGAATGAGGTTAAACTTTAAATATGAAAACGTAACTGTACTGAAGATGATTTCATGAAGATCGTCCTCCTGCTAGGTACCCATGTTCTCGCAGCACGATGACACTGCCCTGTGAAGTTCACAGATGACCTTGACCTCTGCATTTTCCAGATGACCTTGACCTGGACCGTCCGATCGACTACGGTAACCTGCACCTGCTGAGCTCCTCCTACCTGCCGCCGCGCAGCCAACCAGCGGCCGAGCCGGCGCGCAGCAACCAATCACCGCTCCGTACAGCCTCCAACAACCAATCACCGCTGCGCTCCGCCTCCAACAACCAATCACCGCTGCGCTACGGCGTTGTCGACCAATCAGCTCGCAAGTCTGATCGTCTGACGTACTCTTCTCTACTAGCTCACGGTTCGGACACGGAGGATGGTGGCGCTCGTGATTTACCACTCAACTACTCCTCCCTTCTGTTGCCGGACTCTGAGCCGGAGGAGGGCGAGGATTCGGGCAGCGGCTCTGATAACCCTCCCCGGGAGACGTGTGATGAACAGTGCGGCCTCATGGAGGTATCCGTGTAGAGGGTGGGATAAGAGGGAAGGCTGGCCCATCGGGTGGGTTTTGAAGAGCGAGGGAAAGTGATAGTGGAAAGAAGAAAAGAAGAAGAAGCAGGGGAAATCAGTCAAGCGATGAAACTATAGGGTTGTGAAGCTAAGAGAGACTGTTTCCTCTTGGCGTTGACAAGGACAGTTGACGTGTCAGAATGGTCGTGATTTGGAATCACACAAACAAACTACGGTTAGCAGTGATGGTTTTGATCGCACATACTTAAATAAACCTGGCAAACAGAGAGCTATTCCCACTCAACCTGTTGGTCACAAGCAAACCAAGTCCACACCTTGCCATACTACTGAAGAGAGCGAGAGAGCGTATATTTTCAACACGACACGTTATTTTCAATGGTGCACTGTATTCGCCCGTCCATTGTGTTTACTGAGGGAGTGTCTGGCGCACTCTGTGGGGGCTGCCGAGGTCCTAATGTTTCCAGCCACTGGGTGGTTAGTAGTACGGGCCGAGCGGCCGGGGCTGGGTGTTGCCGCTAGTCGTGCTATCTAGTCTTTGTCGATGTTGAGTTGTGAGGTTTGGTCGGTGGTGTAAGCTTTGTCAGCTGTGAGCTTAGTAAACTGTGAGCACTTTGGGGGAGTGTGAGAGTTGAAGTTGTATCGATGGGAATGATTTGGGTACGAGTGTGAATCGAAATTTTGTGCGAAAAACTTGAGTAGCATTTGTCATGTTAGTCAGCGACTTTATATTTGCATGTTAGTATAGGATTCCTGGCTTTGAGCAAAGGCGAATTCGTCCACGAATGGTCATTGGTCAGTCCTCTTTTTGCAGCTTTCCGTCCCCTAGTATTTGAATGCGAATGATTTGAGTATTTGAAGACGAACGCATGTTATGATCCGGTTCTGTAGAGGTATGTATAATGTACCTATATGTCCAATCAATTCGCTTTACGTGACCGTGAGGGTGCACTTTGACCGTGCATTGCTGTGGTGCCCTCAGTAGCGAATGAAACAATGTATTTAGATCCCTGATCCACATTGGTTCAATATGAAATGAATGTTGGGTCAGGGGCTCCGCCACAGGGGGGTACGCGGGGGTCCGGACCCCCTCAATAATTCCCGTGGGGGGTACAGTACCCCCCAATATTCCGAATACCTGTAACCTTGTTTTGCGTTAGAATGACTAAATCATTCACAGAATGTGTTGAATAATTTAATTAGAATGTGTTGATGGTCGCAAAGCTAAGGAATTTAAGATCTAGAAATGTAGGGAAACACGAAGATGTTGTGACACACGAAGTGCTCAACAATCGCCGACCTATATTTATGGGAGTGTCATTATTCTACCATTTTGTTATTACTATGAATGCGTTTAAGATTGCTAGGATTAACTTAGCATGCTAGAATTTGGCAATAATTTCGTGAGAGGGGTCCAGCTTGCAGGACACCTCCTAAACACAACACCCGCCCCAAAAGAGCTTCAAATCGATCTGAGAACCCTCTTTCCATGTGAGATCACCCGATAGTGTGTGTGTGTGGGGGGGGGGGGGGGGTAAGCCGGTCTTTCGAGCACCATACTAGTCTGAGAGCCTAATGCGTTGTCTGATGGCTAACACCGCCCTTGGAGCGCACAACAGCGGCCTCCTTTCCTTAAGAACGTTGATTTGAGAGGCCGCCATGTCGGTGTCATTGAGCTCCGCTTCTCGGTTTTCGACTCCTCTTGCAAACTGAACCTTGTTTTTTTTTCGGTTCATAAAGCAAAATCCTCCCGATAGAATTGTTAAGTTTCCTTTGAACTCTAGAAAAAACGGCAATTTTTCATCGATTTCGGGAGCTGCAGGGGGGTGGGGTGGGGGTGGGGGTGGGGGGTAGGGGTGGGGGTGAATTAGCCCAAAATGCCCACCTTGGATCCGCCAGCGAGGTTTTGTGTTTTTGGTCGGACCCCCCCAATCCCAAAACCGTGGCGGAGCCCCTGTGTTGGGTTGATGTTGATCGTGCTGTAAAATAGGCGCCTTCATCCGGAAACTAGTGTGAAGTGATGAGGTTCCACGGTTGTAGGTGGCGCTAGCTGTCTTTTGGAACTGTACAGATTAGAGATGTCAATCGGATACCAACTTTTTGGTATACCGATACCAAACCGATACCAACTTGGTATTTGGTATTTCAATCTGAATGTGTTTGGTATTTTGTTGGTATTATAAGCCCTCACTAATGTATAAGAGGTTGGGAAATCGGTAAAAAGTTGGTTTTTCCCTCATGTTCTCAAGTTGATTCGGTTTTGGTATTTCCTCACGGTTTTGGTTGGTATTTGGTTTGGTCTCGGTATTACGATTTTCTGTAATTGACATCGCTAGTACAGATGGCGCTAGTTGTCGGCAGATAGTGTAAAAGTAGCGGTGTATGTTCTCAAAGATTGTACAGATGGCGCTGCAGTGGCGCGGGAACTTCTTCCAGACTGGGGGGGGGGGGCTGAACCATCATAGATATCAACCTAGGGTACCCCCAAATCTAGCTTTCTCATCGGTTTTAGGCCACTTATTTTTCAGACCTTGGCCTTTTCAACGAAAAAAAGAAAATATTTGCAAAAAAAGTGAGGTATTCCGTCTCAGCTGAGTGAAGAAACTACCGTTTTGGCAACCTGGAATAAAGGTTTTAAGCTGCCAAATGAGTTGCCGAGTCAGTAAAATAGGTAGATTTTTCACTCACATGCTTTCTTCCTTTGTGACTCACAACCCCTAATTTGGGGAGGACAAGCTGCCCCAACGGTTCCTGGCCTCATGAAAAGTTGTGAGGCACCGCCCCCACGGCCCCAGAGTTGTGAGGGCAAGCTTCCCCCACTGCCCTCTCCCCCGGTTCCCGCGCCTATGTATGAATCTATGAAATTGTGTTGGTAGATTTCCGATATCGATTCCTCCAGCTGGGGGGGGGGGCTCAAATACATTACGAGCCCCCCCAGCCGAAAAGTTGGAGGGGCTCAGCCCCCCCTAGCCCCCCCCGGTTCCCGCGCCACTGTGGCGCTGTATGTCCGCTGATGCTGTATAGGTGGCGCGACGAGTCAGCGCTCCGTGTAGCAGTGATTGAAATCGAGCTGTGATATGTGTGAACGGGCTGTCACCGGTCTGTGTTGACCCGTGTTGACGGATATGGGGATAGTGGAATTGTGGGCGAGAATCGTACATTTGGTGGAAGGATTCGGGTCGACACGGATGACGTCATCGATTGTCATCGACGTCATAGGTGAAGTCGAGACAACTGGCGCGCTGTACCTTCTTTTGGATGGTGATTTGAGCGTCCCCAGCTCACAGACACCTATGTGAATTCGATTCGATGTTTCAAATTCAGCGTGGATGGGCCTTGCAGTCTGGCTCTCGTGAGGCTTCGCTAGCTGCTTTTAGATAAAAGTTGGGCAGAAACGGTAGCTGCTGTTGCTTGTATTCCAAGCGACAATACTTTTTTTGTTTAGAAATCCTCGAAAACGCACAGCTGTTATTGCTGCTTTGCCACTTCAGCTGAATAGCGATAAAGAGAATGTGTACTTTTGATATAAAATTGGTGTTTAAAACCCAGACCAAAAAAACGGTGTAAAGGCTTCTAAGAGTTATATTTTACTTCCCACGAAATGTATTTTTGTACGACTGATTTCCTTGCCACCCATCCGCTTTTAGTGGCCGCACGGAGGAGCTGTCGCTGTTTTAGCCCTTGCCCGTGCGTTTTTCCGATGCACTGTGCCGCCATGTACAACACAGCACGATGCTACACGCCGGCATCACTGAGAGTCGCTGATTTTGTGTATGTGTGTCTGTGTGTGACTGTGTGGTCAGCCAGTGTTCTGCTGTGCAATATACTGTACAGAAACGGTATTATATGATGTTTTTTGTAGACTATCGAGGGGGATTTAATTACAGAAGCATTAGTTAAACGCGATTTGGGAATTCTGCACGGCGGGCTACACCGGGTGACTGCGAGATGCACACTGCACTGGATGTTGAACGTTGGTTGTTGGAAAACTAGGAGTGATCGATCTCATTCATACGCAATTTTACCGAAATTCGTTCACTTATTTTGCTAATATATCCTGCAACGTTTTATGGCGATTCAGCGGTAATCGAAAGTCATTTATTATTTATCTCGTTATTGTCAAGGAATTGGCTAATGATCAGTAGCGGCGGAACACCTTCAATTAAGGGGGGGGGGGGAGGAGGGCACTGCCGACTTTTGGTCCCATTCGATTCTTTCCATGCAACGCCCATAGGGCTAATGTTAAAATGCCAAAATCAAAGGGGGCACGGTGCCCCGGTGCCCTCCCCGTTCCGCCGCCTATGTTAATGAGTAGGCATCAGTAGTTTGGACGGTCAAGGCTAGATCGGTCAAAGGCTAGATGGCAGAATAATGCAAACCCGAACGTTATTCCTATATCGTGAACATTTGGAACGTCAATTGAATAATACGCACACTGCACAGCAATAATCTCCGATGTTCCAGACATGACTGAAAAATGTATGTGATTTATTTAGAGTTCAATACCTGCACATAACAAATGTCGCATTCGAGGGTAACAGAGACACCTAGCGGTGAAGCTGCAAACCTATAGTTGTCGTGAGTGCTGCCACCTATGACCCGAAACGCCGAACCTCGAATCCACTACCTGCACATAACACAGGCACCAGGCAGTAGCGACAGATGCCACCGCTAGATGTCACTAGTTGTATAGCGCGCAGACCGTGGCCTGTGTTATGGGCAGCTAGTGGAAATCGGGCTCAGCCGTTCGGAAAATAGGTGGCGCTGTTTGCATGAACTTCAGGTGCCGAACAACGCCGATAGGTGTCGATGCCTGTTTAGTGAGCGGAATCCCGGGTCACCTGGTGAATTGTGGTTTATGATGTTTTTGTGTGTGCCGATCGGAAAAAAGTGGTGACGAATAGATGAATGATTGCGCTTCCGATTACCGCTGATTCGTGCCTTCACGTTGCAGGTAGATATTATGTTGATAGGATGGCATGGTTGATAGGATGGCAAAATAGGTAGAGACACCTATCGAAGGTTTTTGAAACCTCAATTCCATGCGAAGAGCGCCACCTATTCTCCAAACGGCCAAACCTGATTTCCACTAGCTGCCCATAACATACAAAAGCCAGTGCGGTATACCTACCACTAGTGATATCTAGCGGTGGCGTCTGTCCGTAAGGCTAGGTGCCTGTGTTATGTGCAGCTAGTGGATTCAGGGGTCAGCGTTTCGGGTCATAGGTGGCAGCACTTAAGACAACTAGAGGTTTGTAGTTTTACCGCTAGATGTCTCTTACATCCCATAATGTGACATTTGTTAGTGTTCAGCTGTTGAACTCAGTTCCATACGTTTTTACCCATGGTAAAGAGCGCTAATGCATAGGTACATTATTTATTTGATTGGGGTCATAGGTGGGACTTTGTGCCGAGCTGGGAGGGCCCGAGCTCTCCAAATTCGACGCCGGCTTGGCTTTGGAGCCGCAACAGACCGCGGAGGTCAAGGTCAGTGAGGTCACTGCTAGAGCGGCGGCGAATTTGCTGCGCCCGGGCCCTCCCAGCTCCGCACAAAGTTCCGCCCGTGATTGGGTTATTGAACCGTGATATGGTTATGAACATTAATGAGAGATGGAAATGACGTTCCTGTGCATTTTGGTGCCATCTAGCCATGACCGCCAGGCGCCAAAACTCCACTATAAACATTCGCCAATCGCCACTGCAAAATCCAAGGACCAAGAGAATCAAGCTGCAGCAGCCTACAGAGAATGTTTGGGCGATGCCATTATTCGTGCCATGAGTGTTTTCCCGAGTGAAAGGTTTATTTTCCCGAGTGAGAGGTTTGTTAAAACACAGTGTATGTTATCGTCGCACGAGTGATGCTTTTTCGGTGACATATTTTGGGAAGAAATAAAGGATTCGAGAGGGTTTTGGAATCGAAACAAAAGGGCATTTCATTTATACAGTAAAAAAATGGAATATTAAAACAATTATTCTATTTAATCGCCGCCGCCGCCGCCGACGTCGCCAGAACACATGGTCCTCCGGGCCGGATCCTAGGAATCCAGGATTGAATAAAGATGGAAAAACTACGAAAAGAAGTAAGGGTAAAGAAGGCCCTGTATACCCGCAGTCTGACTTCTTTGGACAGGTTAGTAGAAGAGAGAGCAGCTGAGATAGAGATCAGTTTATGTATTGATAGTGACAAGGAGAAATGGAGCCATCTACAAGATATTGACTTCAAGAAACCTGCTGACTCTGAAGTGGTTGACCTACTCATCGGTAGCGATTATCCAGAATTGCACGAAGTTCTGGAGCGCCGGACTGGCCCGCCGCACACTCCAGTGGCAGAGCGGACACCACTGGGCTGGGTCTGCGTGGGGCCCGTGGGGTCCACAGCTCCACCGCCAGCACGCCGGCCCCGTGTCGGAGCACGCGCTTCAGCCGTAGTAAACGAACAGGAGCTGCTCAGAAGATTTTGGGAAGTCGATGAACTGGTCACGACAAAGCATGA